TACTGATAAAAGCGTCTAAACCGCCCAGTTTTTTGCCGGTTTTTCACCGTTCTCGAAATTTGTTGAAAACCGGCCGGTCTTTTTGCCGTTTTTCACCGGTCTAAAAAGATTTTTGGGCCGGCCGGTCTGCTGTTTTGAACCGACCGGCTCGGCCCGGCCTCTTATCTTTAGACCGGTTCCAACTCTGACACAAACAGTCTGCTATACCGGTACATTTCTAGTGGCCAAAACACCCCGGCTATTGCAACTCGGGAACTACACTGATCGTAAGATTAATATTTTCTGTGAATACAACACAGATTCAAGGTATATTGCCTTAAAAAATGAACCCAGACACTCTCATGTTTTAGCAAGAATCTCCAATTGCACGAAATCAAGCGCACCTAATACTGAATAAAATACTTAAGTCTTCTAATTTAATAAATGACAGTGATTTTGTGTAATATTGTGCTAGGAAATAACGTTCACTTATCATAGATATTATTATGGTGAGATTCAATACGTGTGTATGCTTTATTCAAATTTCCATGGTACAACATGTTAATCAGAATCTATGTAAACACAGCGTAGCTTCAAAAACTTCGAAAAGATAACAGTCAAATGTTGGAACTTAACGCAATTAAGCAGGCATGCAATAAGCAATTACCGTCACCTATGCTAATGTTATAACAAAATATATATTGCAGCAAAACTATTATGTGTATGTAAATCCAAACCTGATGTTAACAACAGTAATAATTGTACTAAATCAACAAATCAATTAATAATTTTCTTCTCACGAAATTTTGTTAATACATTTTTATCGATCAGATAGATAATCATGAGTTTCTTAAACACAGCATTATCAATGATAATTGTATGTGGAACTGATTTTTCTATGGTTAATGATATGAAATTTTGTACTGCTTTATAAATTTCTTGTCTTTGATATCATATTGGTATTGACAAATTTTCCATATTCACGAAACTATAACAACTTTGGATAATCATACACATAATACTAACCACGAAAATCTAAAGTGTACAGGAAATATGATATCATATTTTTATAAAAAAGGGTTTGCGTTCTGTTATTCACATGTTGAAGGAAATATATTCTTCTACAATTTAGATTTTTGATGTTAGTATTATGTGTGATCATGACCGTATCGAAAAGTTACAATAAAATGAAATTTACAATAGCTGCATTAGTTATCAAATAATGTAATATTGATTATTCTAAGATATATAACGTTAGTTTTCTGATATTTATAGATAACTGTATCTGCTAATTATTATAGAAAAAAAGTCACATCCCACACTTAAAATTTTCCAGTAACAACAACTTATATCAATACAATAGAAAAACATTCAAGAGAAGAGAAGAGTGCATGAAGCCGAAGCATGTTTGCAAATTACTAAAAATTTAACTTTATGCTCATATTTATAACCATAGAAATTTTAGTTTTATTAGCTAAACTTTTACTTCTGTTTAACAAATAGAATAACGTATTTTCAATAATCAATTTCTCCTATTTTTACTCTGCATTTGGCGCGTATTTCATGCGCATATATACATGTATATACCACAGTTATACCACATTTTTGATCTCTTAGTAGTGCCTCTTCTACTGAGAGTAGCTCAAGTTATTCATTGCTCATCTATGCACTTCAGAGGAAACTTTTACTTGCACAACTGTTTAAGAATACCAGACAATTAATTTGTTCACTACTTCACATCACAAGACAACACGGCATCTCTGCCGATGTTACATAATACTCTTCTACTGATCTTACAATTTTCTGATGATTCAAAGCAGTAAAAGATCTGTGAAGGATATTATACTGTCTACAAGTCTAATTTCAAAAGATAGTACATCATCAAAAAAGGCGTTTGTTTGTTTTGTACTTTGACAGTTCATGACATACAACCTCGAGTTTCTGTCTGAAACGAAGCTGGAAAAATAACCTTTTTTTTTACCTTCCGCTTCGTGCAACCTACTCATAAAGTAAGCTTACACGTATATGTCCTTTTGTTCATTGAGCCGGAACAATTTTTTTTCTTTTATCTCTTATTTGAACTTCATGATAAAAAAAGACGCACTGCACAAATTACATTATTATTTGATGTAAGTTATTATTGATAAATAGGTTCCCGTCAAAAAATTTTATTCTCCCAAAGAGTACCCATGTCGACTGTTAACAGTGATACGAATTATTTATCAATTGAAATAAGTGAAAATTTGAAACAGAGTGTACTTGAACACATTAATTATTTAAAAGAATTTCATGAGCATCCTGAACTATTGGCAGATCAGGCACGAGCTTATGCCATATATCGTTATGAAAAATTTTGGTTACCATTTATTTTTGAAAATCAAGAATTAGACAATATTCTACCACCGATCGATATTCATCTTGTATGGCATACTCATCTATTAGCACCATTAATATACGCGACTGATTGTGAACAAGTTTTGGGACGATTAGTTAATGCTAAAATACGTCAAAAAAATCCACAATCTTTAAAATATAGTGAGCAATTATGGTTAAAAAAATATCAAAAATCGATGCCATACAATATTGATTATACAACAGTCATTCCACCAGTACCAACGTATACATCAAAAATAAAATATAATTTACATAATGCTGTGGAAAGACAAGTAGGTTTCTATTATAATGTTGCATTAGATCATTATAAAGATGAAAAATTTTTAAATGATGCTTTATTACGATATAAAAAATTTATTTATTTGAAAAAAATAAATCCGCAATTATTTGTTGTACCAATGTACGATATTGATCTTATATGGCATACACATCAATTACATCCAGAATCATATAAACGAGATATGATTAAAAATTTAAATCAGGTTTTACATCATGATGATTCAACACAAGATCGTACAGTAAATTCAAAATTACATATAGCAGATCATGATACACGTCATAAATGGGAGGAATTATACGGTGAAAAATTACCAAAAAATGGTTGTATGTATCGTGGAAAATCATCAAAAAATCTATATAATGAAGTAACAGATTTCAGTTTTTTACTGGAATGTCAACGTTATTCAATGTATGTTCAATTTTCAACTGTATCATCAAATGACGTAGCATTACCATTACTATTGCCATCTGCAACAAAATTAAAGCCAATAACATCTACAGAAAAATCATCAACTGCTGAAAATGTGAATACCATTGTTTCACTTACTGATCCATTACAAACACAACCATTACCACAACAAATATTTGCTCAAATCAATCTTTCTGAACAAGAACTATTTGCTCGTGGTTCATCGGGATTAATTGAAGCTCATTTTGAAGCAGACTATTCTGATTTAAAAACGGATCTCAAATTAAAAATTCAACAACGGTCCGGATATTGGCCAATGAATTATTTTACATCTGTTCAAGAATTTGATATTGGTGAACCAATTAAAATAACGACACCTAATGATATTGTTGAACCATCCGATAAGGCAACAGCTGATAATAATCCAAATGCATTGTTTCATCTGTTTGAATCAAATATTGAAAATGAGTTAAAAATGCAAGAATTGGTACCCCATGCTAAACGATTGATTGTTGGTATACCAGCTGTTGAAATCAATACAATTATTGTTTCTTTTGAATCATCGGCATATGACGAAGTAACATTAAAAGATAATTATCCAACACAATTGGGTACAACATTCTTGTTCAATTTAGAAAATGTTAAAGTTAAACAAGCTCTTCATGAAATACATCCTTGTCATCAAAAAGATCCATTATTATTAAATATACGTCATACAATTGTCAATGGTTGCGATATATTTACAGCATTTTATCATACGGAAATATATGCATCATGTCATACATTAAATTGGTCTCAACTGCCACTACCTACTGATGTTCAAGCAATAAAAGACGTCATTACTCTAGACCCACAGACAGAAGAAGCATTAATTATCAAAGATCATAACGGAGATTGGGGAATTGTTAAGTGAGTCGACAAATGTCTTGAAATGTGAAATATGTCAATTTTTTTGTCATATTTTAGATATAACACAGCCTTGTTCATAGATACACAGGAAATAAGGTCATCACTTTCATCAACCTTATCACCTGAAAGTTTTCAGTTTTATCTCTATCGTTTTACGGCAAAAGGTGTTGAAAAAGAGGCAATATTCTTCGATTGGGAAGATGAAAAATGGTCAATTGGTTCAGACAATTTTGGTATTGATATGAATACATGGTCAATATCTCTTAAACGATCATCGTTACGTGAATGTATGCAATATTTTTGTTTATGTTCAGCGTTAATTATTCGTTTTGACACATTATTCAATGAAATATTTGGTCAACAATTGAATGGCGTTGAAGAACATGGTAATGATTTGTTGTCAAATGAAACAAATTTGGAAAGATTGAGCATTGATGGATCAAATAATAACGAGAAAAAACCAACAATGGTTATCAGTAGTGTTTAACACAGGTTTTTCTTTACACTAAGAATCAGACTATATTTTAATATTTAATGCATATAAAACATTTTTCAATGACAGTCTTTGTTTCATCTCACAGTGATGTAGCTGAAAAAGAATTTCAAAAGAATTTAGTTTCAATTTTGCTTATGGGAAATGTTGTACAAGAAAATGTAGTCATGTACCTTTCGTTGTTACAATCATTAAAACGATAGTTTACAAAGCTTCCAAATAGCTCTATACATTATGACAATTCGAACAATTTTGATTGTTCATTACAGAAATTTTAGGAAGAGCGTCCATAGTTATAGGAATATTGAGAAAAATCTACGTCAGCCAAGACTTTTTTAAAGATTTAATATAAAAATCTCTAGCAACTGTCAGACAAATTGTGGTGCAATAAAAATGTACTAAGCCTGGTATAAATATCTAAAAAGTTTTTTAATTGTTAATATTTCAGACTGCTGCTAGTTGAAAATCACAATATTTTGTTAGTTAACCCTTTACGGCTGGGTATTGACTACCGGTAACATCGATCTATTAAGTGCCGAAGGAATTTCGTTCTAAAAGAATACACTTTGCCGATCCCTGTCACAGCAAAACAATAAATATAAAGGGAGGAATATTTTTATTAGTTAATTTTTGACAGCCGACAGAAAAGGAATATGCGCAGAAGGGGATATTGTTACTAAATGGCTTATGCGTAAAGGGTTAACAGAAGATGTTTTATTTAAACTTTGAATTAAGTCAAAATGTCGATATATTCGTCTGCTGCTTCCAATGAAGCCTTCTTACAGAATAAGAAATCCATGATTATAACACATTTTAGTCAAAGGTCAACGAATGTATAGATTTTATCTAACTTTCACTTATATATTTCGCTGATATGCACCATTGCTACATGCATGACTAAAAATGATTGTAACCTTATTTATCCAATTTGATGATATAATTGAATATTAATATGCACAGGTGGTTATTAATTTGTGTATCAGGTGGATAATGATAAAAATGAAGAAAGATCATTAGAGTCATTCGATGTTGTCACTGGTTTCGGGAGAATACATGTATTAGAAGAAGATGATATTGATATTGCACTCATTAATAGTGTAGAAGAAGAATGGCTAGAAGGCCAAAAATTTGTTTACTGTTGATAACAATTATTTTGTTGGTTATAACTTTGAGTTGAGTAGGACATTATTGTTGCTGTTGTTGCAAATGATAACTTTGAGAATATGATGACTTATTGATGTTGATGTGATGATGTGAAGTAAACAAGGACAATTGTTTATCGCCATTTTTATAATATTACTAAACTATATGTACATATTGATTTTATAAAAAAAAAATAATACGATAATAATTAGAGTAATTTCAATAAGAGAAAAAAACCTCCAGCACATACAAAACTGAACATATCAACTTGCAAGTCAGGGCCTAAAGATTATCCTCCATGGCGAATTCAGTGATAATATCAGTTTTCTTTCATTTTGACCTTCATAATGGAATTCTGGAAAACCTGGGATTTTAAGCTTACAGGTCCTGGAATCATTTTTATAAAAAATTCTACGATAATTGAAATTTTTATTCAATGTACTCATCGAATAGAGCACATTGCACTCTACCTAAAAACATATTTTCATAAAAATGTTTTTGGGCATAAGACTTCGTGTCATGGGCCCTGGTGTACATACTATTATTCAGGCTGTTCTTTATGAATAAAGCCCTTGCCACCTCATAAAAATGTTTTTATTTTTAGAGATTTTGAGAAATTTTTCGCTGGAAAAACAAGGCTCTCTGGAGATCTTCTCTCATCGCAAGAGCTGGAAAGTTAAAATTTTTTTGTTTTGAACTTGCTAAACTATGTAGTTCAAATGTATTAGGTTGCCAGATTTATATCTCAATAACTTAAGGTTTTTTAGGAGTTTCTAGAAACCTCCTAAGGAAATTGCAACTGTCAAAATAAATATTTAAGTTAATAAAATTAAACCATTTTCATAGATATATAGTCCGAAGTGTCCTCTGCAAAACTGGACCCAAGCGAGATCTTAGAAATCCATGGTTCAGGAGCTATGGACGTTTTTCCTGAAGCCTTAGCACTTCTCTGGCGTTAGATTTGAGACTATCAGAAATGAATGAAGACATAGGTTATCGACTATGCTGAATTTTGTGGCAATGTTAGTTTTCAGAACAAAAGACCAGAACCGAGTGAAAACCTATACTAGGTGGAATAACTCATTTTTGATTAAGATGCAGATAATGCAAAATTCAAGTGAAGTTTTTTTTAAACTTATTATACATCGTTCGAAAGAGCGTCTCAAACTGTAAAAGAATATTGGATTTTTAATTTTTTTTAACTTTATTTTCTTGTCGAAAAAAACTCGAAAGGGGTCAAAAAGGGAAAAATGCGACCTCTATAGTAAAATCGATTTTTTTTTAAGATATATTGCACGTCGTGGTTTTCGAACTATTTTTTTCTGAATGAACGTTGAAAACTGATGTAGAAAAAGCCTTTCAGTTTATTTCGAAGTCAAACGCTCGTCCTCAGTACGCGAACGATTTCAGGACGCTTTAAGACACACAATGAGACAATTTTTACACGTGGATTTTTTCATGGGATTTCATGGAAAAAACCCTAAATAAAAACAAAAAAATAAAATATAAATAACCTTTTAGGCGACTTTGCAGGGCATACACACAACGATTGCCATTTAGTTTAACCGAGATTAAAGGAACTTATAGTATGTCTTTTTTTATATTTATTATGTAGGTTTTTTTCCATTACAGACGAAAAATAAAGGGTATATGCTCAAATATTTTTTCTCATTTATATATGTTTGTTAGCATATTTATTTATTTTAATTTTCAATATCTATCTTGATGTATGTAAGCTATAAATTTTTGATAATCTTTATTTATTTGTTGATGACACAAATAGTTATAACCAAGACAGGTCAAAAGAGAGCAGAGTCTCATTATTATTGTCCTGTCTAGCCAATAAAAAGTAGCCTTTTAGTAAGCCTTTTAGTTGAAAGAATATACTGAATAACACTTTTGTAGACTATCAAATACTGTTCCTCTGAGAGACGAATTTTAAGTAAGAGTAATCCACTACTTAGGGGTTGCGGTAAGTCCAAAGTTGAGAGTTTCTGTTCAAGATTATTTCGTTACAATCGGTACAACACACAATGTAACAGATAATGATTAACATTTTCAATATCACCGCAAGTACAAAGATTAGTGAGGCTCAGCTTTTTGGTATACAAGTTTGCATTTAGTGGTGGATAGTCCACACGCAAACGGTTGAAGAAAATAGCTGCTATTTGATCAATACCATACGTTCGATAATGAAGTATATTAACATTATAATAATTTTTAGTTCAGTCTTAAAATTTCTGTTTTCGGAAGCGATTCTGTTTTACATTATCTGGCAATGAATTCCACATAGAAGTTTAGTAAGGAAAAAAATTAATACAATCCTACTGGAAAACGTTTACACGTGGCCTAGTTTTCCTCAGACCTTCTGAAGAACCCGTTTCAGAAAACTCTTCTAAAAAAATTTTGATTATGAAAAGATGCATTCAAGTCTACTCTTTCAAATGGTGAAAACCGCAACTTTTTTTTTCTTTTCGTTCTCGAGTTATTTAAAAAATAGTCACGTGCCATGTTTTTTTAACAGACGGTAGTTCTGGTTCACCTGAATAGATAACACTGGCATATATCAATAATGAGTACATAAACGATTTATATAATTGATCAAGAGCCGACGTTAAAAAAAATGCAGTTGAATCTGTTTATAGCTGCTAGAATTAAGTTACATTTTCCAACAATAAAAGAAATATGTCTTTTCCAAGAAAGAGTTGAAGAGAACCACAAGCCTAAGTGTTTATGATCCTGAACCAAATCCTAGGCAGTACAGATAGTCTCTTAGGGAAATTCATCGTTACACATTTTGGAAGATTTAGAGGTAAGAGCCATCGTAAGGACCACTGATAAATTTTAATAAAATCGTCATTTAGGGTTGCGTTCACAACTTGAGGGTCTGGAGCACTACAGTATAGCAGAGTATCATCAGCAAACATATGTATCCGGCTTGATAATTATTATCAATATCATCTATATAGACCAAGAAGAACAGTGGTCCTAGTATGCTTCCTTGGGGAATTCTGCAGTTAATGGAGAGAGAATCAGATGGCTTACCTCGATGATCGTTACTATTTTTCTATTATGTAGATAACTTTCGATCCACCGTAAAAGCATCCGTGATACACCTTTCTTTTTAAGTTTATACAGAAGACCACGATGCCAGACCCTATCAAAGGCCTTTTTGAAATCAAGAAAAACAACCTCAATATCCTTAGAAGATGCGCGATCCTCATAGGTTGAATGTACTAATTCTACTAGTTGATGGACTGTTGAATGTTTTTTCCGGATTTCACTTTGAAAAACAGAGAGTTATTTGCTTTCAGATAAGTATTGATAAAGCCTTTTATAAACCACCCTTTCTAAAACTTTGGATAAAGTTGGTAACAATGTTATCGGACGATAATTATCGGGAATAGTATGGTCACCGCGTTTGAATAGAGCACTGATATAACCAGTTTTAAAGGAATCAGGAAACACACCACTTTCTAAAGAAGCAAGACAAATGTGTGCAACATCCTCTGAAATTATTAGAGCTGATTCACGCAATAAGCGGTTGTTTACTCCAGATGCAGATGTCTTATTAAGGTCCAGCTTAGTAAGAATTTGTTCAATCTCTTGTGAAGTTATATTTGTACTCGAGAGTTTGAAAGTAAAACTTGTAAATGTAAATATTTACAAAATAGACATTTTAACGACAAACAATAGAATCTATGTTAAATCACAAAATTCTAGACGTATTAGAATTATCAATTGCTGAAGTTTTGGGTGATAAAAAATTATCATAATTGCAACAATATTCAGTGTTGATCATTTAGAACCATTCAAAAGTTGATTATTTATAAAACTCAACTCGTTCACAT